ACAGTGATTTTATAACACAGGGTAACTGCTGGGAAAGATGTACATATACGATAATACCATCTCATACGATTACATGGCGGGTATCGTATAAAATCGATTGAGATAAAGGCCCATATTTAGAATGCGCTTACAATGAAGTTAATGCGCTATACTTTACGTTACGCGTATTATAGAATTTCAGAGATAAAAGCGCGTTCTAAATACGGGCTAGAATGTTTGGATATCTAGTCGCATATGCAAGTTTCATCGTTACGGAGAATGGTACCGGAGCTCGATTTACCGTTTCTGCTTGCATATGGTAAAATACTCGTTAGACGTTAGCCCATTTTGCATTCGGCATATAATATCTACACTGGAAAAAGTCTGGTTACATTAATTGGAATTCTCTAATTAAAATTAGACAAATTAAAATTTTCTGGTTAAATTTATTATAATTCTAGTTGAGATAATCAGAATTCTGATTGATGTGATTAGAATTTCCCGATTGCTTCATTTTTAACCAGAAATTTTTCTCTGTGTACATATTTCGGCGAAAATACAATTTAAATACGATAGTGAAACAAGGTGTTTGAGTATCGATAGAATACTAGATTTATGTGAATTACTATGGTTACACAATTTAGTAAAAAAAAAACAAGAGACAAGATGTGAACAATCATATGCTAAAAAAGGCGAAATTGACGCGCACAAAAATGAAAGAAATTGTGCATCGAGGAGAATAAAAATGGATCTAATACTTTCGACATGTCAAAATTGAATGTTTGCTCTTTGATTGTCCTTTGCGCTTGTCGCTCACAGACGCTACTTGCTACTAAAACTGACGTTAAATAAAGAAATTCTAAACTAAATGTGTGCCTTCCTAAAGCGGTGTAGTTAATTCCGCACATCTGCTCCGAAACCGACGCATATCTGCTTCACATCACTCGCCTATTAATTGTTTATTGCCCACCAAACGCAATATGAAGCATTTGAACGCTATTAGAAGCACTTTTACAATTTTTCGATTAAAATACTGATATAGAAAAATCGACTGAAGCTTTTTAACCTTTCCAATTTTTTTGCACAATATTCTTATGCTGTTAAAAAATTATGAACGAAATAAAACAAATAAAACAGCACTTCTTGAGAAGCAACGTTCACTCTCCTAAAAAAGATAATAATAATTTTCATATCAGCTACTTCATACTATTTGCGTAAGACAAATCATGTTTAAAAATGGTAATGTTTGAATATCGATAATTCTCTAACAACTTCGATCTTCTCTAACAACGAGATGCATCATAACGAATAAAAATAACGATCTGTAGAAGTCGCATTGGACCTCGAAATGCAAAACGGCGATAATGTCCGTGCGTGGCAAAACATTCATTAAATATACGCGTGTGATATTTTTGTTATCAGGAAGATCATCGTCGTACCGGAAGATACGTCGCGGGTGGAACGGCTCTTGCATTTACATTGCTCGGACTACATCATCTGTTTCTACAGGGTACGTCCACTATAGCGGGGGTGTGCGTACCCGCTATCATAATGGCATCGTACATAATTTGGGTGCTGTATTCTGCTCGCAGAGATAGACGGAAGGTAGTTACCAGATTCGCACTGTTGTCATTATACTGCATGCTTTTGTCGCTCTCCGATATTACGAGATTAACATGCGAGAAAGGCAGAAATTATGTCGAGATACGTTTTCGACAAATGCCGACGAGACGTATACGAACAATTACGATTCATTCAAAATGCGATTGATATTGAAAATTAATAGTTACTATTACACGATTGTCACTTTCCAAATTTTTACTCATTTTCGTTTTCACTTTTCACTTTTACGTCCATCTCTTCGTGATAATGAAATCTCTAGGCAAAATTAAAAAACAGTAATTCACTGTGAAAGAAAGTAATTTTTACATAAAACTCGCGAAAAGATGTTTTGTCAATCGCAGATCAAAATAGTAATGAGATTCTCGATTGATCGCCGTCGATTTCGTAAGATTGTGTCTAGAATAAGTGTTTTCCAT